TTCTTAAATCATTGCTAAAGAGCACAAGTTTAATAAGTTTAACATATTTCAAAACTGGTGTAAAAGCTATTATAATAGAGTTGTAAAATCAAAAACCTCGCTAGCGGTTTGACGTTTGCCGTAAACGTCAACCTTAAGGTCTATAATATGTGTCCTATACCCTCCGCTATTCTATGTCCTCTGATTGAGGACCTGTTTTATATCCGAGGAGTAGTCGTATTTTTGAGGAGTAGTCTTATATCCTCTGAGCGAGGACTTGTCTTATATCCTCTGATTGAGGATTTGTATTATATCCTCTTGTTGGAGGATTTGTTTGATATCCTCTGATGGGGGATTTGTCTTATTTCTTCTGTTTGAGGAGTTGTCTTATATCCTCTGATAGAGGATTTGTCTTGTATCCTCAGCTTGAGGATTCGTCTTATACCCTCTTAGTTCATATTTGTGCGGATATCTATTGTTCTCAATAGGGTTTTATTTGGGTAAGAATCTAAAAGCAAGGGGAGGGATTTGATATCTCCACAGGGAAAAGCGGGGTTGATGAATAGATTTGAATGCCTAATTAAAAATGCAAGGTATCTAACTCCATAGTGACCCCTTTTGGAGGTCACTATGGAGTTAGATACCTTGAATTTTTAACCAAACTCAAACCCCACATCTCCTTTTCGACTAGAAAACGCTGCACGTCTCTGAGTCGAGAAAGAGACAACAGCCGTGTACCTCAAAAGCCCGTCAAACTCTACCTTTGGGTAGAATATTTATCATTCGGTGCACGAGGACTAGCTGAACCGACCATCAAACTTGCTTGTGCAAGGAATTTATACAGTAATATCTGCTCTTTCGCTTGTGGGACGCGAAATGATATACTACGCATGCTCAACCACATTAAAGCGTGTTTAATGCGCATGTTCAACCTTCTTTCGTCCCACAACCTCCCAAGGACAATAGAAAATGGTCGTCTTTCATTGAAATTCAAGCCTCGGCGCTGCACGCCTCGGTCTTGAATTTCAATGAAAGACCTCCCATTTGGTTTTTATCCTGCAAATAAAACCCTGTTGAGAACAACTTGAGAATCTCTGTTTCGACAAATCCGTACAAATCTTCGTTAGCTCTTCTCGGTTGTATGAGCTATTTCAAACATATTTCATCGTAATTGTGGTTGGTGAACGAATATTTAATCACTTCTCATTGATAGTATACAGTAGTGCGACACGAGAATTGATGCATATCAAAATAGCCCTGTTTGTTTTTATTACAACCATGGTAATTCAAACGCAAGTAAAGAACAATACATATCATAAAGTAAATTTCATTGTGGGTCAATCCTTACAAATATGAACTAAGTTAGTTAGATACCTCAAACGTCGGCTCTTAGTCAGATAAATCCCTCGGGGCCTACGGCCCCTCGGGTTTGTATCTGACTAAGAGCCTCCGTTTTCGGTATCTAACTCTTACTTGTTTGAGGAGTTGTCTTATATCCTCTGATAGAGGATTTGTCTTGTATCCTCAGTTGAGGATTCGTCTTATACCCTCTTGTTTGAGGAGTTGTCTTACATCCTCAGATTGAGGATTTGTCTTAACTTTTGGCTCATAGAAATAATAGACATAGAATGCGTGCTAATGACGAATCATGTCTCCACTTTTTCAGGTGCGTGCCCTTTTGAATGCGCCATTTTGAATTATGGCCAGGAGTGCAAACTACAAAGTATAAACAAAGCTAAAACTACGTTTTCATCATCAAAACATTTTGTCTTGTTGTCTAATTTGTAGTTTGGGGATAGATTTTGAGTTCCTTGAAGGCACAAACTGTCAAAGCAAATGTACAGTTACAAAACACTATGAAAACAGTGAAAATCGTGCAGCCTTTTAAAAGCAAAGTAGTTTCGCGAAAATATAATTTGCTCAAAACATTTTTGCATGCTCTAAACGTAACTGTTTTGCTAATATCTTATAAGATTACAAAATGATAGTTCTTTCTTCGTCGGGTTTCGTTTTTCTGCAATGTAAACGAAGTGTTTTCATGTTCTTGAAACATTTTATAGTTGTCGATAAACTGTAAAATTGCCTAAAAATAATCGTCGAAAACCATGGTTTCAAAAGCGTTGCCTCAAGCTCAAGCAACGTAGAAAAATATGAAATATAATTGTGTAAGTTTAACTTGAAAGATTATTGAACTCCATTTATATTGTAAAAGAGTTGAAATATTTGTAGAACATACCTATTGAGTTTGTCTTGATCTTTTGTGTTTTGTTTTGGCTTGCACAACAACATAACGTTGAAAATTTATTTTTAAACGACGATTTCTGCACATATTCTGTTCAGAACTATTGCTTTTCGTAAAAAAACCACTGGAATGGGTTTTTAGACACTTTTCCTTAGTTTACCAAACTTTTTTTCCATTTTAAGTCCCGATATAAAATTTTTTGCAAACTTTTCAGTTGAAAAAATAATTCGCACTCCGTGCAACCGCGCGAAATTCCCTGCCTCAGGAGTCTGGGACCAACCAAAATGCCCTTTTCAATGCGCCATTTTGTGGAGACAAATTTTTTACTGAGGAAAGATAGGAGCACGCATTCTATGTCTATTATTTCTATGTTTTGGCTACACACGGCTGGTGGTGCGGCGACTCAACCTGTCAGCCAGGCCAGCCGCTGTGAAAATTATTATCCATTCTCATATTTTCCTAGACAATGAGAAACTATTTTTTAGCAGAAGTGTAGTACCGTTTTGGCGCTTGCCCTTCTTTAAATTTATGCTACTCTCTTTTAGCTTTCTCGTTTAGAATGCCACCTAAAAAGTTACAAGCGAGGAACTAAGAGAGCCCTTCGAACGGCAGACGAAGGTCCATCAGCACAACGCAGCCGTCGGCAATCGACTAGGAACTCGACGTTGGCGTCCCGTTCGACTGTAGATGTGGGAGCCGAAGATGATTCAAGTGGTATACCGCCGTCCAATGTGCCTCCTACCACGGTTCAGCAACTCGATCCCGGACTGGTCCAATCAATAGTGTCTACCGTTGCAGCGGAGGACACCCGACAACTGGCAGCGACTTTACCAGCCCTCACTTCGCCAACTGACGAGTTTCCAGCGACTCGAAGCGTTTCAGCTACGCCAGAACCAGCAGAGGAGCGTCGTTTGTCTGCGCCACCATTGCCTGCAAGTTCAGCCACGACTCTGGTGGAGGGAGCGATAGCTGCGGCTCACTCTAGGATAGCAGGTGCGCCTCAGTTATTGCCTACTAATGTAATTCCTCCTAGCGTTAGTATTCCTAGCAACATTTTTCTTTCGGCGAGTTTGCCGATTGACTCTCAGATTTCCTCAAAAATTAAAGAAAAAATTTGGAATGAGGAGTTCGAATTCGTTGAGTTTGGATCGTTGTTGAGCAATCCGGGGCAGGAAAAATACCAGATTTCGGTCCAAAATTCCGACGCCGGAACCCCGGCTTCATTTTGTCTCGAACCAATGTCGCGAACTAAAAAAATCACGTCCATCGAGGTTTGGCAACAGGCTTTTCATATTTTTGTTGGCGTTTACACGCAAAAAACCCCATATGAGGCCCCCGCTCTCATGAAATATGGGTAAACTATTCGGGACTTGGCTGTGCGCGGTCAGAACTGGCGTTATTACGACGAAAACTTTAGATATTTACGACGCACGCAGGCGAGCCTGGTCCCTTGGGGTTCGATACAAGGTGAACTGTGGTTGCGTTCGCAATACCCAGTTAGACTCTACAAGTGTGCAAAATGGGCTTAGCAACACTCCATTTTCAATATTTTCCCAGGTTCACACCAGGACTACACTATAATGTATCAAAACATTTATTTGCATTCTCAATCCTCTCCAGTGAATTCCTTCAAATGTATTTGTAGTACTAAATTAGAAAGTGCCCTTTTTTATTCATGCCCCCACTGCCCCATATTTGCGGCCTGTTGTGATGAGTCCTAACAAATAAAAAAAGTCTCTGTGTGTGTACACTGTATGTACTGTTGCCAATAAGCAGTCCTTTTTACACTAGTTTTATTAGTCTCAGTAGATTAATATTATTGTATAAACTTACTTTCACCCCTTTTTGCAGCACAGTGTTGACTGTAATTGAATCTAAAAAAATGAAGATTCCCATATTTAATATGTATAACAAGTCTATTATGCTGAAGATAGATTCATATTTTGCAGCTTCCACCTTTTTTCTTCAAAAATAGATAATTATGGTCCAGATTATTGTTCCAACTGCTTGCAAGACATTCAAAAGTGTAGTAGCTTTAACATTTCAAAGCTAAGTACTCTTTTATCTTGCAGGCATGCAGTTGAACATAGAGTTAAAAAATGTATAATTTTATAAATGGTAATGTACCATACAAGTACAAATACAAAAGACTTATACTTGTAAAAGATGTGCTAAATTGCTAATGAAAACTATATATTAATTGCCGTGACACTCAGAAAAAGGAGATGGTTAATAGTCAATAGAATTAAGTGATGGTTGCCACAGTGGCGTACTCTAAGGGAGGCAATGGGGGGTGGGGGGGGCCGCCCCTCCCCCAATCGCCACAAAAACCATTCTCTGAAAAAGTCTAAATCCGTAGAGAAATTGGGCCTTGAAGGTCTCAGGTTCAAATCTCAATGAAGACTTCTCAACGTGACTCGAACCCAATTCTCATGTGAGAAGAGTAAAAGTCAACGCTCTGCCGAAAGTTATGGGTTTTCTCCCTTCGGCTCCGGTTTCCTCCCACAGGGGAAGTTAACAGGATGGGTTTAATAGGCACATAGGTCAGGGGGCAGATCATTAATGAGGTATGAACTAATAGCAGTCTACCTCGGCCTGCTTCACACCAGTTCTGGTTGTAATGTGGTTAGTCACTGAAAAACCCCCGATAGGGATTGTACTGTGCAATATCTGTATCTGTATTATGGTTCCATGAAGAATAGATTTAGTTAAAATTCACATATACGGTATGCATTATCATAGCATGAATTTTCTTCTCAGACTTATTCTGTATTGTATAAAAAAGAAACACAATTTTGGGAATGCAGACATGGTATCCTGCGATCATGCTCTATTTTACAAATAATAGCCTGACACAATCCTTAATCCGATCGCTTCCCACCCACAGCAAAGTTTATATTTAGTATCCAATCAAAATGTCGCAGGAGAAATTTAAATTTCACACAACGACAACAACAATCTAATTATAGTTGTGTCATTATAAATATATCAACGGCAGTATATAATGTAATTATCACCAACCGATCAAATGGCAGATTAAAAAATCTTTTGTCTCATAAACCAATCAGATTTACAACCGAAATACGGTTGTAAAAACATGGACTTTTGTTAAGATTTGTATCAGGCCTATTGATTTATTTATAAGCCTGATCACAGGTTACAGCCATGGTATCTCACAGAACCTATAATGATTTAAATTCACAAAAGCACATTTATTTGGGATTTTCTTCCCCCAGCATCACAGAGGAGAAATAATGTGACACTAACCCCTCCCCCTGTTTTTCAAGGTCAGTGACTTTTCCAATTTATTTAATTCCGAGAAAAAATGTCTGGGAAGATTTATGTTTTCTATATACTTTATTATCTTCAGAAATGTTTGAAAATCGCATTTCAGGGACTCTAGATTTCAAAATTTTCCCGGGGGTGCAAGCCACCGGATGCCGCTAGACGATCTCATGCCTTTGGCGTTTGCTTCGCCCCCCCCCCCCTCCCCCCAAAAATATGAAGGTCTGGCTATGCCACTGTGGTTTTGAAACACATTAGATTTACAACATACTCAATATTTAATAATTATGTGTTTGTTCTGGTTTATTCAAAAATATGGTCCTTAACTTCAATTGTTTATTGTACATATTGTACATGTTGGTCGATTTAGCAAAATACAATACGTATATATGTGAACATTAATGAGCATATCTTTGCACAA